CACACACACACACACACACACACACACACACACACACACACACACACACAAGTCTAGTACAAGTTTACTTGTACTAGATTATTTGTGCTCTGTGGAAGCGCTAGTTACACCCTAGTAAAAAGGAGCATTTAAACAAAGTTGTGGAGCTGTGATTCACAGCAGTATGCAGGTCCCATTTTCATGCGGTTTATCAGAACCAAGTATCAGCTACATAAGTAATATGACTCTTCAAAGCTCCATATCATCCCATTTCTCCTTTTCTGTAGAGATCATTCCACTCATCTGCTCAACTTTGCACTCACCAGATTAGGGTGCTTTTCAAGGGCTCTGTCCCTCCCCACTTTCTATAACAATGGTCCAGTGTGGTTTTCATTGGCCTGGGATTGATCCCATACACAGATAACTACAAGCACATAGCCTAACCTCGTGGCTACTACCTGTCTGAACACACATTTAATTCTGCCGTCGCGCACACACAGCCTTATAATAGTGAAGCCATGTGTTAAGCTGATTGGTACACACCACACCTATCTCTTGTTTAGAGAGGACATTAGTCAACGTGTGGTAATGAGTTAATTAGTAAAGTGGTTGAGTCATCTATGTAGATTTTTGTCTACCTTTTGTCATTGTCAAAGTTTCCATTTGCAGCATGTTTTAAGCATTAATTGCTGTCCGAATGGCACAAGTGAGAAAATATACAACTGTGGAGATGACCACACATTGTAAAAGGTCTACCTGGATGATTGAGCGTGCATCAAGATACTCGGGCCTGTGTGGGACAGCAATGAGTTAACACTAAAGACTGAGCACATAAACATCTTACCGTATAAGCTTGAGAAATTGAATAGTAGTCATCAACAACCCAGTTTTGGGGTAATTTCCTTACAAACCTTAGGAACTTTTTCCTTCTGGTTCTTTTTAGAAGAGTTTATTGTTAGGATACCTGGTGTCTCTGTGATTTAAGGCACAATTTCACAGTGACCTCACTTGCCACACAGAGTCAGAGCAATCAGCTTCTTCTCTCTTTGTGAGATTTCCTGGCATTTTTCTGCGTGTGACTAATTTCGATTTATTCTAAAGTGCAAACAGAAATTAACCACAAGAAACAAGAAATTTCACATTCAGATATGCGCATATATGTGAGAAGCGTCTGAAAGTGTTCAAATGTTTCCCTGATTGCTTCTGACAGTGCCTGTCTGCTGTAGCGATTTGAGCACGATCTGGGTCTTTGAACTGTCTTGGAGCCCACCCTTGGCATAAGCATCAATATAATGTTCCCAAACAGAATGCCGGTAATATTTTGTGCCAAACGATAGAATAATTTTCCAAAATAAAAGCCTGTAAATTGTTGTAAACAATCAAATGTATTCACTGGAGATGGAATGATTTGATGAAACAGAAGGCCACACTTCTCATCATAGTCAGCTTTGTTGAGCAGATTAGAATGCAGTCTGAATGTACCAGACACTGAGCCTCGGTTTGTTCTTGAAATATACAGAAGCAGATGTTTGCACAGCAGATTCTCTCTCTCTTTTCTCATAGCTTTCCTTTCAGATTTTTGAGACGTATTTGTTTTTTGTCATGCAGAGCCACGTTTTGGTCTTCTCATTTCCAGGCTGTTCCTGTCTTGTTCCTTTTTCTTTTGCCTCAGCACAGGGTCAGCCAGCCATGAATTCCTATCCAGAACACTCTGCTTCATCTCTGCTTCCCAACCTCTAAATCACATCAGTGTTACATCATAGCACACACAGACACACGCGCATAGACACACACGCACACAAACTCACACACTGTGGCCACCATGCCAAGAACTTTTCTTCTCATACAATTCCCCCTCCCCTCTCCCAAACTTTCCTTGTGAAGAGTCATCTACATTTTTAAGCCAATCTTTAACCAAGAAGAACCTGTTTTTATTGTGCTATAATTTTTGGATGGACATCGAGTACTTTTGGTTTAGATGTGCTTTTGAGAAGGCAGTACAGGGCAATAGGCATCTGTTTAATTAATCTTTTGAGTTAAATAGTAACAAATAGGAATCAACAATTGGGGGGAAAAAGAAAAAGAAAAGAAGAGTTCTCCAAAATTCAGTTTTTATTTCATTCTTGAGTAATCGTAAAACACTTAAAAGCAGGAAAAGTATTTTTTTATTTGTTGAGATGTGAGGTAATCTTTATTTTTTTTTCTTTCAGTCTTTGAATTTGGCCAAACCAAATCAAA